TGCCTTTAATTGCATATCTCATAAAAATATTTAATTAGTCTTAAATCAAGTATTCATACAGATATTTTAAATTATGAATCTGGAACTTCAAATTGGGTGAAAGACCATTTTAGACTATGGGCTGGGTACTCAAAGTGTGTTCAGAGAACTAAGAGCATCAGTACCACTTGGGAGCTTGCTAGAAATAAATTCAGGCCCCACCCTAGTCTACTGAATTAGTCATCTAGATGCTCGTTCAAGTCTGAGAAGCACTGGTTTAGAGGAAGGGTAACACACCACACCTTTAACATGGAAGCGATTTTACATGGTGGTCATAGGTGAGCTCCTAGGTGATGCAGGAAAACTGTTAGTACTGTGCACAGACTGCTTTCTTCTTCCTAACAGCCTCGTTTCCAGTATTATCTTTTCATCACCACCTTATTGACTTGATGGTCAGAATCTGCGGAGACAGACTACAGTGCAGGTGACTGTCTGTGATGTTCTGAAGGGAGAAAAGAATACCAAGATCATTACCTCTTGATCTGGGGCCAGGTTAAGGTAGAGAAAAGAAGGTGGTAACTTTAAAGTATGTGTGTTTTTCTCTCACTTGCTTACCTCTGCTTCTAGAAATAAAGCAGCCTCTGGATAATACAAGTTTTCAGGAGTGCTCAAAAGCATGCTGAGGGTCAGAAATGTGTTTGGCTTAGCAGTTAGGGTAATTTAAACTTAAACCTAGTATTTTTTTTTAATTCAACTTAATCACCAAAACTTGATAAAGTGCCATCAAGTTATCTAAAAGAAAGCAGATACTGCACGATGGAAGGGTTGATGTCATCCTTGGAGCTGCCAAACCATTAACAATTTGGAAAGTGACTTTTAAAAGGGAAAATATAAAATTATGAAAAACATGCCATTCGGAGATTTGCTTACATGCCCTTCCAAGTGTCTGGTGATTTATGTGCATCTCCTCTTTCCATCCTTCTCTAATTTGGTTTCCACTGTCAATATTTTCTTTTTAAAAGAATGTATATTCATTTGAGCACAAAGCTGGATAAATGCTTCAGAAAAAATGACCTCATATAAATTTGAAAAACGGTAAAATTAGAACAAAGGAAAGGTTTAGATTTTTTTCAGTCTCTAACATTAAAAATTTTGAACATTAATTAACAATTAGAAATTAGGTATTATATTCTAACTTGCCAAGAAATAATCAAAATACCAACCCTCAACTTTCTAAATGAAATACATATATTATAAATAATTCTTGTATCTCCAGCAAAAGTTTCTAAGAGTGGCCAGTACTTGAGTTGAGTTTCTCTCCTTCCTCTTTTATTCTTATTTTCTCTCTAGAAAAAGGAGCTGAAACTCAGATATGCCCCAAATTATTTGCTGGAAGGAGTATTTACAAAATGATATGGCTCTGAAATGAATTTTTGTCTGTAGTCAAAATAATCATGACTTCCTGTTTAAGTCACAGAAATTATGCTAGTGCCAGACTCAAGTCTATTTAAATCTCTTAAACTTGCCATCAGTTAAGCAAAATCTAAGTTTTCTGTCTTATTTAATAAACAAATATTAGCTGTTGCAATTCAAGCACCTCCAATATCTAATTACTTTTTGAACAACTTGTTAAAGTCTTTCTCTGTTTAAATTTTTATTTAAATAAAGGACATTTATTCAGCAACTGCTTTTTGTTGTGCCACAGTTCTAGAGGCTGGGATATAGTAACAAACACAAGAGACAAAAAGCCTGCTCGCATGGAGCTTATATTCCAGTGGGAGAGGACACTGATAAACAAGTGAATATTTAAAATGTACTTATGTCAGAGGGTGGCATGCACTGTAAAGAAAGTAGCGCAGGGATGGGGAACAGCCCGTGGCAGCATGGTGCCCAGATGGTACCTAGAACACAGCACTGTCAACATTACCTTCTCTATTTCTCTTCATGGGATATCTCTCAAGTCCCTTATTTAATCGTGTATGTATCCTAAGTGGAAACATTTAGGAAAGAGGGAAACTAGCACAGGTACCTAACACCACTCACATTTTAAAGGGAAGTGCTCAAGCTGACTGACAGTCCCTTTCCTGAGAAAAATAGTATGGTATCCAGGAAATAAGTAAGAAATATACTTGCAGACTTTTGCAAACAATCCTAATTTGGAAATCAGGACAGGTCACAGGGCCAAAAGAAAGCCTCCATGTGAGAAACTCTTTCACTACTGTGGGTCAAGAGTATTGGGAGTCGCCTATGCCAGAAAGCCCGAGAGTCTCTCCAGCACACTAGACAGATTGCTTGCAGGGTGTCCACTCTAATCCCGGGGGTACAGCAGTGCCAGGAAAGGAACTGAGCACAGTCACCTGCGTACCTGGAACACAGTCCGGGCTCAGGAGGAGAGACCATAAAACTGGCTCCATGTCCATGACTCCATCAAACACAAAGAGACCACCGAGAGACTATTTCCCTTTATTTGGACAGCCCACTGCACCAGACCACTCCTCCTCATCCACAGGCTATCGCACCAGGGAACTCATTCTATACGTCTTCTGTAAGCTAGACCTCCTGCTTTTATATCTGAGATTATTCTAACAAGCCTGCAGAGATGAGACCCCAAAATAATTCATCTTTAGATCAGTTTGAATAGTGTTGGTCCCAAACTAACCCAAAAAAACAAAATCAAAAGAAAATTTCTATCTTGAGATAAAATTAGTTATAATAAAAAAGTAAGCAGTGAAATCTATAAGAAATTTATATAAAATTAAATGTGTTCCTTATTCCTGTACCCTGAGATTGCTTCACAAGTATCTGACTACATGCAAGTCTTTGTCCCTACTTTTTGTGACCTAAGACCAAGGGAGTGAACAATACTGAATAATTCATACATGATGCTGAAAGTATTAACGAAATATTACTGATACCACATATATAACTGAATTCACAACAGAGAGTAATGATGACTGCCAGGACACGGGGGCAGGAGAAATGGGAGATGGTGGTCAAAAAGAACCAACTTCCGAGCACAAGATGAAGAGTTCTGGGGACTCCTCTGGGAGTGTCGTGACTAGATAACAATATATAGTGTACTCTTGACAGTTACTAGAAGAGTACTCATAAATGTAATATTTTACCGGAGGCCATTAGAGAAGGTTACATCAAAGAAAAATACAGCTTTCGTGAACAGAAAGACTTGACATTGTTAAAAATGACAACACTATTCAAACTGATCTATAGATTCAATGCAAATTCAATTGAAATCTAAACTTTTTCCCAAGATGCTGGGCATTACAATATTGACTTTGCTGTTTTAAAACTGTAAACCTACTTTACATTAATTTTATTATACCTAACACATTTTTTAAGGAGCCAAATATAAAAGATTAAACCTTTGTAGGACCAAAATAAAATACAAGTGAGTATCTGAACTCAGATTCTAAGAATTTTTATTATTTTTTAAGATTTTATTTATTTTTAGAGAGAGGGGAAGGGAGGGAGAAAGCGAGGGAGAGAAACATCAATGTGTGGCTGCCTCTTGTGTGCCCCCCCCCGCCCCCGGGGACATGGCCTATAACCCAGGCACGTGCTCTGACTGGGAATCAAACCAGTGACCCTTTGGTTTTCAGGCTGGCACTCAATCCACTGAATCACACCCGCCAGGGCAGAATAAAGAATTTTTTAAAAATTTTAAACAAAATGAGAGAATTCTATGAAATAAAAAATTTTAATTAAAAAATTTTTAAGATACCATAAAATAACATTTTAAAAATTTGTTACAAAGATGAATATTTTCCATATAAAAAGGTCTTATCAGTTGATAAGAGAACTCTTTTTTCTTAACACGAGGAAAAGACAAACTACAATTGTGGCCCCCAAATATTCGATAAACATGAAAAATAAGCCTAGCCTCAGCACTATGATTAAAGAAATAAAATTAAAACAGTACTTTATTTACAAAACTGAGACATGTTTTAAAAAATGCTAATATACCCTTTAGCCAAGATTCCAAGAAATAAGCACTCCTTTGTAGTAATGGTAGATCTAGCAACTCACAGTATTTCAGAGAAGCAACTGGGCCACACATATCAAAGGATCTTCAAATTATTTATGCCCTTTGACCCAGGTATTTTGTTTTAGACATCATCCTCTCAAATTATTGGATGGTCACTACAGTTTTATTTATATTAGTGAAAAACTGAAATATCTTAACAAATGCAAAAATAGAGCAATGGTCAAGTATTCCCACAGGTTAGGTCAGATATAGGTCCCAGACTGCCATGACGTGCTGCCATTAATGACATTGTTACACACCGATTTTAAAGATAAAAAGTTTCTATACTTAATTATGCTAAAAATAAGTAATGAAATAATATGTTGTATGATCTGAATTCTGTAAGAATCTATGTAAATAAGTGTGGTGTTAGTGAGTGAAGAGAGAAAATAAAAAGTACACCAAAATATTAACAATGTTTCCTGGGGGCAAGGAGCAGGATAGTGGGATTAGAGTGATTCCTGCTTTGTCTCTGAGCTTTTCTGCATTTTTTAAAAATTTTTACACCCTCCCCATTCAATGCATTACTTGTACGTACAAAAAACAAACGGGAAACTTCTCTTTGCAAGCAAGATCAAATCTAATCTCAATCTGGCATACAATCTAATTTATCTTTCCCATCTTCTCTTTCCCCGTCTTCCCTATGACCCTGGAAAGGGCTCACACATACACACACCTTTCACTCACACTGTTCTCTGTCTCCAGGCGGATGGCCTTTTCCATCGCAGGAACTCCATTCCAGCTCCAGAGCGAGGCTCCCTTCCCTTCATAAACTGGCCTGTGCGGTTTCGCCCTCCTTCACTCTCAAGCCAGCTCTCTATCAGACTCCATGGAAATGATCTGGCAATTGATCAAGTACAACTTGTAATGTCTCTACCACTGTTGCCTTGAGCTGTTATCTGGTTTTCTTTTAACTTTTTGTATGTTTTTGTTCTTCTCTCCAACTAGGCTATAAACTACTCTTTGTATTTTTCATAAAGTTTAGTGAAACAGAGAGGTGTCTGTGGAAGACAGAATAAAGGCCCCCAAAGATGCCCATGTCCTAACCCCAGAACCTGTAAACGTAAGTTACAAGCAAAGGGGAATTAAGGTTAATTAGCTGTCCTTGACAGGCAGAGGTAATCCTGGATTATCCAGGTGGGCTTAATGTATATAATCATACAAGGCTTTTGGTGTGGAGGAGGTCAGAGAAGGAGGAGGAAGGCAGGCAGCTGTACTGAAGTGCTCTGAGGACTCAACCTCCCACTGCTGGCTTTGAATGGAGGAAGGAGGCCATGGGCCGACAGAGGTGGGCAGCTTGCTGTGGCGGGAAAAGGCAAGGGAATGGATTCTCTTCCGGAGCCTGCCCTGCTGACACTCTGGATTTTTGTCCTGTGAGACCCATGTCAGTCTTTTAGCCTACAGGACTGTGTGATAAATTCCCGTTGCTTTAAGTCATTAAACTCATTGTAATCTGTACCAGCATTCAGGGAAAATTAATAAAGTGTCAAATACTATTTTTGTTCATTCATAAGAAATCAAGAAAAGATAAAACCAAAGTTGTTGAAGTACTAGACAAACTTAAAACTATACTTTTTGAGGAATTCTGTCTTACCACCCCAAATGCCTCTCATTATTTACCTCTCCTTAGTGCTTATTCAGGGTGGGGCAAAAGTAGGTTTACAATTGTGAGTATGTAAAACACAGTTTATTCTCATATTCTTATTATTAATTATATTATTTTCCATATGAACAACTGTAAACCTTTTTCTGCCCCACCCTATATATTCGATTTATATTGCTTATCATTTCTTGCTATTTTATTTTATAACTGTTACTTTAACTGTGTATTTTATAACTGTGTTAATATCGTTTCCTGGGCATATATTTTTCCCTCTGATTAAAAAGACCCTTAAGAAGCAAGGGACATATATTCAGTCCCTACATTTGCTGCCAGAGGTCACAGACCTCAGTCTATAAATGCCTGTTACTAACAGTGTACCTAATGGCTTACCTGGGGTAGACCATATACTCAGCTTTCTACAGCCTGCTTCTCAGAAGTGTTTTTAAAAATTTTATCTCAGCCTTATACATAAGTACCCCATCGCCCCTTAAAAAATCTGACCAGATTAGTAAATATTTAGAAAGTGAAATTACTCCATTTTAATTTCATTGGATATGTCCCATAAAATCTATTGAGGTTTTATGTTTTTCCAGAATTTTATGGTTTACTCTTTCAAGAAAGCTGTCCACATTTATCCTTACAGACTGTCAGGATTCGGGAGCTGAGGCAGGAAGATGTCTGGTGTAGACTGAGAGAAAGGAGGGAGTCTGGGGAAACCTGGGTGTGAAGTGGGCCCCTGTGGGGTAAGTGGAGGCAATCTGGCTTCCTCACCCCCGTGTCTGAGTAATGAAGGGAAGCAGTGTTCCCACAGCCTTGGAGGGACCTGATAACCAGTGTTCTCACAGCCTTAAGACTGGGTCTGATAAACTGTTCCCATAACGTGAAATCAGCTCCTACACGCAGAATTATGTCATGTTATGTACTGTTCTGGCAGTTCTCTGGCTTTGTTTCCCTCTAGTACTTAAACAGGTAGGGACTCCCTGCTGGGGGTAATGATGATGAGAGACACGCAAGGGGACAGGTGCTATGATGGGTGCCACGCTGGGGGGCAAGGGCCATGGCATGTGCCACACAGACACATGCAGACAGACACGCAGCTTGCAGCATGCGTGGCTCGCCCACCTGTGAATAAAGGCATGTCAGACATCCCAGCTGCTCCGTGAATATTATTCCATTTGTGCCAATACCATGGGCCTGACCGGCCTTGAAGGGCTGCAACAGAGCTCCCCTGTGGGGAGGGCACAGCTGCTGGGTCTGAACGGGACTATGTGGAGGGTGGTCTGTGTTGAGTGTCAAAATCAGCACAGACCTTTTAACCAACTAGAATTACCAAGCTACTCCTGGAAGCTATGGCTAAAATTCTAGGCTCTACCAGAATTAAACAAAAGCAAGCAAATAAATAAGTGGTCAGTTGGAAACAGAAGAACATGGCATCACTGTGACCCTGGGGCAGGAAGCTGAGGTGTAAATGGGGTTCTGGGCAAGTAACCCCGTGGCGCTGTGCAGAAGAGAACTCAGGAGGCAGCTGGCCCTGGCCGGGCGCCCTCCTCGCACAAGCAGGGCCAGCCCAAACCCCTTGCGGCGGCCTCTGTTATCTGGCCCTGGGAAGCCTTAAAAAAGTGCTTGCCCTCATTTCTCCAATCATAAAGTTGGGGCAGTGGGATCTGCCATTTCTGTATAGCCTAGGTCTGTGGCGAGGATTAATTAGTGTTTTTAAAGTGCTGTGGGCTTGGTTTGGTTTATTTATTTTCCCAGGATGAAAGCCAGTACGCTAGCGCCAAGTGTTAACAGTGAAGGTTTGATGTATGTTACTTGAGATGCATTCTGTGAAGTGGAGTGGACGGGCTATGGGGCTTGAGGGACTGCCTTCGGCATCAGAAAAGCCACATTTCCAAACACACTTTAGTGCTCCCCAAAGTGAAAGAGGCAGAATACGAGTCTTTGAAAATTAAAAAGGAGCAGAGTTATCTGTGTTCGGGCTCGGTAGTTGAGGGCAGGCACCAACCCACACCGAGGAGGGCCTGGTGAGCTGCTAAAGACAAGCATCGGCAGCTGGAGAAGACACAAAACTCCGCTCACTTTGTGACAAGCTGTCAAACGAGCTCCCCTGTGTCATGAAGAGAAGGAACTGTCATGCAGGCAGTCAGGATTTCAGGGCTGACGGCTGAGGAGAAACTTGGTCACATGTGTGCTTCTCTGACCCGGGACAGGTGGACACCGGGAGCAGGAACTCCAGGACAGTCCCAGCTCCTGCTCACTGAGAACCCAGCAGCGTTACAACAGTCCAGTCTCAGAAGAACCCTCCAAGCTGGGGGAAAGTCACATGCTCTCACGACTAAAAATTAACACTGCAGAAATCCAGAAAGTCAAAAGTACAGACACCCCCGTTCCCATCCCGACGGCCAGAACACAATCGCTGTTAACTGGACGCATTTATGGGAGATAGCTGCAACCACCCTCAATTTGTGGGTGACGAAATACAGAACTCAGCTTATTCACAGGCTCGCAGGAAAGAAGTCAAAGCTGGAATTCAGGCCCAGGGCTTTCTGAAACCCGAGAACTCAGCATGTTCCATGAAGCCACACTGCCCTACCCCACCCCTTGCTCCTTTGTTCCGCCACCAACCTCAAATGTAATTACTACAAGGCACCTACGGGCTTCCATAACCAGCTTTACAAACAGAAGCTGCTAAGTCATGGGGATGTAATATACAGCACAAGGAACAGAATCAATAACGTCATCATAACTGCGTGTGGGGACAGATGGTTACTAGACTTATTGTGGTCATTTCAGAAAGTATACAAATGTGGTGTCCGTATGCTGTACACTTAAAACTAATATAATACTGTATCTCAATTAAAAATAATTTTTTCCAAAAAGCTCTGGTGGAGAAAAAAAACCCCAAACAGAAGCTGCTATCATCTAGATACGTGAAACTACAAGGCTAGTGTCACTACTAGACCCATTCTTCCAGCTCGTTCAAGTGTACAGTGTTTGGTCACCGTGCCATTATTTGAGTGACATGGCTGTAACTAAGATCTGGGTGACCTTTCCCACTAAACTAGCTTAGAACAGAAAGCAGAGAGACCACTGAAATGAGAAATATGTGACTTACACATGAGGCTGAAACCTGGAGAGCCTGAGTTCCAGCTCCACTCCTTACTAGCTGTTTGCGACTGATGCCTCAGTTTTTCCTTTTGGATTATGAGGACGGATGAACTGAATGCAGGGTGCCCTCTGCCTTCTGGGATCTTATGCAGTGATGAGCAATCATATCACTGAGAGCCAGTGTGCCTCATGCATCCCACCTAACCTTTTTTATTCTGTTTAATACCTCATTTCAGGCTGAGAGGTAGAAAGTTGCCTCTGTAGTTGCTACTTCTCAAATATGCCCAGAAAAAATGAAAGTGCTTTGAAAATAATGTGTGACGTTATTACTCTTGCTAGATTTATTCTAATTTAATCAGCAGATGATAACCTACTAAAATGACTGATTTATGAGCATGCATTCTTTCAGCATGTATAAATTCTCTGATACATAAGGCATCAAGAGAGTTGTACAGATGAAATCTTGCCCTCCTTGGAGCTTATGGCTCTGGGTGCGGAAGACACACGGATATACATAATTGCAGTATGAGGCGGCAAGAGCTCTGTGTCCTAGGATGCTCCAGAGAAACTCAAGGGACTCAAGTTTGGAGGGATCAAGGAGACTTCATGGAGAAGTAGGAATGTGACTTGGGTCCTAAACAAGGATCAGAGATGCAAAGGAAGATGCTGGTGACTGAAGGAGGGCACTGCAATGGTGGTGAGGGGCTGTTTCAGCTGAATGACGGAGGTTGCAGGAGGCAGGCTAAGGAAGAGTCTGCACGCAGCTGTCAGAGGTCAGAACCCACACACAGCTGGCGGGGGAGTGAGCGGCTGTGTCTGTGCCCTCTTCCAGGCCAGTTTTACCAAAACTTAAAGCCTGACTGATCCGTAGAACCTACAACAGTTCCTGGCATGTCGTGGGCAGACAGCACCTACTGAATAAATTATCTTGGAAAAGGCAACCTAATGTCAGGAAATAGGTTTGAATGTTTCTCTAAAGAGGAAACAGGGAGCAGCTCCAAGCATCCAAACCTGGATGACTCTTGGATCTCGAGTATAGATTTGGCAATTTTACTGCAGAAAATGAGCGTGTGAGAGAGGAGAGGGAGGGACGAGTGCTCCTTTGCCCTGTAATCATGAGCAGAAATAACATCTCATTATAACCTTTAAAGAGAGGAGGCCCTTTCAGTGAAATAGTAACAAAGCTGGACAGAATCACTTTGAAGACTTGGCTTTTGGTGGTACGGAAAATGCTAACATCTGTCAGTGCCCTTCATCTGTAATCAAGCCCTATCAGCAGAACGAGTGCCTTAAGCGTGTGCATGTGTGTCAGGTATATGTGTGTACGTTACAGTCAGAGGTCTGTGAGAATG